GAAGTGGAGGCGGATGCATCCGTTGAATCATTAAAGCACCGTGCCCACACTGCTCCGGCGGTCCCGAGTAGGCTGTGTGGGGGTCGGCTGCTGAATTCTTCTGGAGAGGTGCTGGACGGAGCACAAACGGTCACAGGAGTGGAGACGTGCTCACCCTGCATCTGAACCAGGTCCGGAAGATTAAAGCCAGGAAAGGCGGCTTTTGCCCTGCATTCGCCGCAATTCCGGGCGATGGATCTGTGGTCACTTGGGCGAAAACCGACTATGGTCGTGCCAGCAGTTTTATAGATGTAGCGGAGCTGTTACATGTGCAGCAGATCCAAGCTTTTGGAGGCGAATGTGATGCAATCCTGGAAGATGGATCTGTGGTCACCTAGGGGAAAGCCGACTATGGTGGCGCCAGCAGTTTTGCACATGTATTGGAGCTGCTAGATGTGCAGCAGATCCAAGCTTCTCATGGTGCATTTGCTGCTATCCGAAGTGATGGAGCTGTCGTCACCTGGGGTGATGCCGACTATGGTGGCGACAGCAGAGAAGGGTACCTGTCTTATTGACAGTGTACTGGGGAACCACGGTTTATTTTGCTGCACGTTTAAGAACACAGGTTCTATTCAATTTTTGCTTTTCAAAAAATGTCGCGCTTGCTTGAAGTCATTTGGTCATCTGAATCTCCGCGAGTCCGGCTCCCACCTCAATTAGCCACCAAAAGCTCCCATTTATGTTGATTGAATCTCGGGTCTCTCAAGCTCATTGTGTCGTGACTATGTTCTGTTTCCTAGGACTCCGCAGCATCCTTAGCTTAAGAGGGAAGGGGATCGGGACAGTAGGTTATGTGTTCAAAACAGTGGCCAGACCCGAACCCCCAAACACCGAAGCCTCAACCCATACTAGGATTAAGACTGTTTCTGTTGGTCTCGGGTTTAGCTTTTGCGTGTTATGCTTCACGGTCTTGAGGCCCGAGTTCTTGACGCTACGCGGACCGTGCATTGGCATAAACCGGGTAATTTAAAGTTTAAAGGGCTCTCGGTTTGTAAGGCTCGTTTTATGGGTTGCAAATTTGGGGCTTCCCAAAAGCTTGTGCTGTCGATGTCGATGGGACCTACACCTACACGACCTACGGCCTTACGATTTTAACAAGCCGGACACGGCGCCACCAGGGTTTAGGGACTTAGGGAATTTATCAAACCCTAAAGCTTTATGAATTTATTACACTGAGCCCTGAATCTCATTCTTTTCGATTTTTGTATGCGTGTGACAGGGCGATCTTCTGCGGAGCCACTCAGCTACCTGGCTGCACTCCGGAGTTCTGCGACGAGGTTTGAGTTGAGGCTTGTCCGCTTAGAAGAGAGAAGGCAGGGGCAGCAATAGTTTGTATTGCCGTATCATCATCATCATCATCATCATCATCATCAGGGCTTTTGGGCCAGGGCGTTGGGTCAGAATTCTAGTTTCGTTTGCCAAAATCACACCTAGGCTCTGAGCCCTAAGTCCTGACCACACAAAAACTTAAGCGGGAAGCTAAGCCAAACCCCGTGGAAGGTCACTGGATTGGCGTCTCGACGCACTTCTGTGGTGCGGTTTGCCGCCACTCCTTGCAATCGCCGTGTGTGTCCTGGCAGGGCGTTTGTTGGTTTAGGGGTTTATTGTGGGTGTGACAAGGGCTGGAAGCCTGAAGCACGAGAGACAGACCGCCCCAGGGCTGGCGCCCGTCACCTGGTGAAGCGGAAAGCACCAAAGACCCTATGGGTTGTCGGTTTACTTGGGGCTTAGGGTTTCCAAAAAAGATTAACCCTTTCAACCCTGAGCCCTACTGGTAGCCCTCAAACACCTACACCCTAAACCGCCTTTCTCTCGAACATTTCGAGCCATTATCCTGTAAGATTCCTCTACTGACAAGTATGGTGCAAATACCCATCGCCAAAATAGTCCGTTTGGACTCCGACTTCTTTCGGTCTACGAGGCTTTCAGGCGCCAGTGGAACTGCTCCGCTCTATCCCAGCAGCGGCATCCAAGCGCAGTGCGCAAAAGTCGGATGCAAGGCTTGGTTAGCCAGGACTTTAGCGGTCAAAACAGGGCGCAGGGGTTGGGGTTCACGACATTTGGCTTTTGGATTCTGGCTTCGATTGAGCCTTGGGAGTTATGGTTTAGGCTACTGAGTTCATTGTTTGAGCTTATGTGTGTAGGGTTCTGGGCTTTGGGTTCAGAGTTTGAAGTTTGGAAGGGGGGTGTTCCTGAAATTTGGGTTTCTTTTGATTGAGGATCTTGAGAGTACTGACTCTGTGACGGACAGGCTGTATATGAACTAAGCTCCCATAGACTATGTTCTGAGATTCCCAGATGGGGCCAGCCCCAACTTTTTCGGATCCCAGAGCCCGAAGAGGACGCCGGGACTTGGTTCTACGGTTTTCGTCGGTTTAGCGGTTTGGCGATTTGGGGTTTAGGTGTTTCAAATCTTGTGTTTCGGGCTTCATGGGTTTAAGGGTTGTGGGGGGTGATGTTGTTTAAGGGTTCGCAGGATGCTTCAGCTTCGGAATGCAAGCCTTCCCATCTCGCAAGAAGATGGCTAACGTCTCCGGGTTTTAGGCGTTTGGACGCCTCAGGCTGAGTTGAAGTTCGTCCAAATCCGAAACCCCCGTTTAGGGCCACCGGGCCTAGTCCAAGTATAAGTTCGACCGACAGCCCGAGATCCGAAGTGTTTTTGTTGGGTTGATTCGCCTCATGGTGCAGCAGGGCATCCCTGGCCTACCGAGGAATCCAGTGGAATGTCCGGCTCAGAAATCTCAGGCTGCCTGTGCTTTCGGGGTTAGGGTTGAGGGTGCCAGATCTTAGGCTTAACCCTAAACCCTGAAGGCGCAATCAAGCTGGCGACGTGCTTTTTGGCCTGTGGCTGTGGCTCCTATGGTCTCAGCTACTCTGCAGGAAAGCTGTCCGAGAACCTCTACACCAACTCTGTGCTGCTGACTCTTGCCACAAGGACAGGTTTAGAGCTTCGGGTTTTGCCTTCGTGGTCGAGGCAGAGCTACAAGGACTGGAGGACCCTGAGGTTTCGAGACTAAGGGCCGAAATTGGGGACCTATGCCTCCGACTTGTGTAGGGTTTTAAAGTTTATGGCTAAGGGTTCAGCATTTTCGGGTAGGGCTTGCAGGGCTTAGGGTTCGGCCTTGAGAATGGAAGAACATGTCCATAGGTAAATTTTCCTGTAGCAGTAGGCTGTCTCCCAAGCATAAGCAGGGTTGAGAGAGGAGCCTGACGATGCAGAAGTTAAGGACGAAAGAATTGATGCGGAAAACAGAAGGAACCGGCAACGACAAGCATGTGTCACAGCCTGCATTTGTGGGCGGAGGATCCTCTGCCGTTACAACAAGGAGTGCTACTTTCATTCTCCCCGAAAGGGTCCATCAACATCCTAGATGAACTTTGACCCTCCCCTCGAGTCCACCCCTGAACATCCATCTTCAGTCTCAACAAGGAATGGGGCTGATATCCTGGGCTATGTGGCAGTGCTTGGGGCTGACGTCCTGGGCCGGAAAGCTTTCCAAAGCAGTAGCTTTTTCTTGGCCGCCGTGTTCTCCGGCTTATTCCAGCTCTGTCAGGGTTTACAAGGGTATGGCGTGTGCAACATGTTCCGCTCAGAGAGCCGAATGACCCACCAAGCCACATACTTAGAGTCGGATTAAGGCCGGGGCAGTAGTCGTGGAAGTCGTCACCTGCATAACTCGCCACCCCTTACAGGAACTTAAAGTTCCTGTGAAAACAAGCGTAGGACACTGTCAACCGGCCAGCTATGTTCGACACCTACTGAAAAGTATGATGAGGAACATCATATCAGCAGCAGCGTCAGCAACATCACAATCCTCATCCATCACCAGCACATCAATTGCAAAGCGCAAGACTCAACTGAATTGCACCGCAAGTCTAGGGTTTTATCATTCATTTGGGCGGCAGTTGGTTGTTTAATATGTGCTCTTGTTTTTCATGTCATGACCCTGATTCCGGTCCTTGCAAACCCATAGCCTCTGAACACCACGTTGAATCAGACCCCAGACTCCTGTTGGTCATATGGACTTTTCTTGGTGTCTTTGCTGGAGAGCTCTTGGCTTTAGGTTCGAGTTCCTGCATCATGATTAGGTTTCAGGGTGTCGGGATGAACGGAGCATGGTTTGGGAAGTCCTCCGTGCTAAGACCTACAGTAGGCCCTAAACCCTCGCATTCCGTGCCGGAGCTCTGAGTTTCAATACCGCGCACAAGCGCTCAAACATCCACAGAAAACCGGGCACCTAACTTAAATCAACAACCTGCATGAGCCCTGATTTTTCAGAGACGCCGTCAAGCACAACCAGCAAGCCTAAGGCCGGGCCCACGGTTGCGCGATCGTTTTTGGTCCCCCTCCAAGACATGCAACAGAATGCGAGGCCTAATGGTAATCTAAAGAATCCCACCACAACCATCGTAGTCAGAAGTGCGAGCCGCACGAATTGAGCCTTGGCCCAGATGCTTGCTCTTCTGCGCAGTGCTGCAACCCGGCTGGAACCTCATCGCTTGCGCGATGGTTGGGCGGATCTGCCTCAATGTCTGTTTTACAACTATCTATGCTGCCCGACTGCAGTAGCCTCAGGGCTTGCATTTCGAGCATCCCTGATGTGCAGAGCCGCTTTCTAATGCCTGGCAATTGGAGGTAGCACTGGCCACGGTCTTCCCGGAGTCGAGCCAGAAGAATGTGCTGCCACTCTGCCAGGCCAGGAAGAAACTTACAGGTTCATGGTTTTTTGCGGTCTCACAGGTAGTCTTCTGGCGGTTGTGCTACGCTGTTTTCGATGTGAAGTTCATTCTTGTGCTCTGCACCCGATGATGCTGTCATACCATATTGACATTATCTGTCATGTCGGTGATTTGCATGTGTGTCCTGTGTTTTTGATGTTTGCTGGTGGTGTCTTTCCTTTGATCTCTCGAATTTCTAGCCCACATACAAGTACACTAAATTCCATCAACATCTTAAGCCGATTTCATGGTTCCGGCCCTGTACGACATGCACGGTTCAGGTTCATCTTCAACCAGTCTTAGACCGTCCACAATTGAGGGTTCAATTTCAGATTTATGGTTCGACGTGTAGTAAGAGCCTTAGAGAGTCTTGGAATACACACGTTCAGTAGTGACTAGAGTTTGGGCAGCAGTGCAAGTTTAAGGCGTATGGTTTACATACCCAGAACCCTACATCCTAATCCCGTTGCAAGAAAATTGAAAAGGAAACCCTAATTCAGAACCCTGACCTAAACCCAAGCCCTGCCAACCTAAAGCCTTTGAGATCACTGCGCGCGTGGGTGGCATCCTCGCCCCCATGTCTGGGACCCTCCCGGCTGCGGCTTGCCGTCTTAGTCTGCCCGAATCTGCAAGGGTATGAAAGGAGTTTGCCTGGTTGGTTCCTAGAGTCCCATAAGTTTGAGGTTTTTGTTTGCAGGTTTCAAGGCTTGAGTGGGAGATGGTCAGATGGGCTTAGCTGTAGCCCTGACTAAGAAATCCGAGGTTCCGTCTTCCTAGCTGCGTAGCACTCTGCAACAACTCCGGGCTCAGAGCCCGAAGCTTTGTGTCCCGCATGGATCCTAAGCCCACAAAAGCTCTAATCATCTAATCGAATCTAATCCGTCACTCCTGCACCTTATAAGGACAACCGCAACCAAACGTGCTCAAGATCTCCCCTGATCACAAATACTCAAAACGATGCTCTTGAGAGTTGGGCTCAATCACCGAATCATGTACCGGCACCCTTACAGCAAGTACGGCTTGAGTCGAGATCGAATGCCAGCAACACCAAAAGTCTGCCGCCCTCTACTTGCACTGACGCTCTATATAGCTTAATAAGCAACATTGAGTTGATCCGCGATACAAACGTCCTTGGTATATTACGAGCAAACAAGTTTACCTTCGCACCTTCCTTACTCAAAGCCACAGCTCTCAACTGGAAGCACTCAACCCTCAATCCCTGCCTGAGGCAGTGTCCTGTCCAGCCTTCGGCAGTTTGTGCATGCTAGCAGTAGTAGCTACGCTGACCCTCCCAGAGAGGATCGGGGAGGAAGCGTAGACGGAAGCTTGTCAAGGGGCTTACCAAAAAAAGCCGATACCCTTTAATTTAGACCCGGGTTCAACTAGGGTGCCTATCCCCTTATCGAAGATTCCCCTGAACAGAAACGAGATCAGAAGCGCTGTATGTTTCGCGAATTCGGCTCCCTGGACACACAGTCACACAGTTTTGAGACCTCTGATCTTTGCGCATACACTTCGGGAATCCCCATAGAGTTGCTCATTGTTGACGGAGACCTTTCTCGGTTGTGCAAAACACAACTTGACAGCCCGACACTCTTTTGTAAACCATAAACCTTAAGACCTCAAACGACAAGCCTCGACTCTCTGAGCCCGACATCCGATCTTGACCCCGCAGCTAGACCCCCGAAGAGCCCGGAACCAGCTCACAATTTCGGGCTTGTGATTTGTGGCTTGATTTTGGGGACCAGCTTAGGGTGATGGAATTGCAAGTCATGGATTTGGGGCTGTCGCGCTTGATCAGGAGTGCACTTCCTCCCATGAAGTCAGCCTCAGTTTGTTTAATTCTGGAGCATTCTCTCTTGATGCATGTGTAAACCCCAAGCCCAGCTTGTGAGCCACTCCGATTTGAATTCAGTTAGCTCCTGGAGAGCCCATGAACCCCGAAAAGTAGTCATTGTCAGTACCGCTACCACATTCTAACCAAAAACTAGTTATGTCAACCCTATATTTTCAAAGGAACAGGGAAATCGGGCTTTCTAGGCTTTTCATTCGCCACCCGCGCGAATGGCACGGAAGCCTTCAGGCTGTAGGGTTCGAGCTTCACGTTGCGATGTATGCAACCTGTCAGTTTCGCAAGTATGGCCTATGCACGCTAGTCCCTATTCGCACCTGTCTTGCGCCCGCACCCACGCCAACGGATCGCGAGGTGCACCTCGCCAGACTTCCGCCCGCCTACATCGCCGTGAGTGGCACGGAGGTCCTGGCAGGCGATCGACTCGTCGGGTGATTAGGACTACGGGGAACAGGGTTGAGACTGAGAGGGCAGGGTCTAGGGCACAGCATAATGTATTTCAAGAACCCAACGGGATGAGAATGCAAGCCCATTCTCCCCTGTCTTACTTAAGACATCTTGGCCGGCTTTCAACTTGCGCGGTTTCTGCAGGGCCACTGCCGAACGCAAATTCGAAACTGCAAACCCTGAGCCCCTCCCCTTAAGCCGAAACTAGGTGACAGCATCATCTTCGCCCAACGAGCTGCCGAGCACGGGGCAAGAGCCTGTCCCCGAGCAACAGAAGAGCAGGGGTGACTGCATTTGGGGGTGGAGTGGTCGGTGGCTGCAAAGGTTTTGGTTTTTTGGTGTTTGGAGTTGGAGCATGGGAGTTTCGGAGTGGTGGAGTTCAGGGTATTGGTGATTGATAGTGGTGTTTGTTCATGATTGTAAGATTTGGAATGCTTGTTGATATAACTTCCGGGCTGGCGCCCTATTGTATGGATCCAGAAGTCTGGCTGTTTGGCCTTTCGCGAAGCCCTGAAGCACCTCTCGCCTTTAGATCTGTAGCATGATGTCGTATAAACCATCTACAAAAATAGTCTGCGCGGCTCTGGGTTTGACTTCCGGGGGCTTCCAAAGACATATGTTCGAGAACCTGCCAGGGAACTTGGAGCTGTGTTGAATTGCATCCGAACCATTGTGCTACGCCTGTTGAATCAAGATTCAGGCAGGCTGAATGGCAGTCTTGCCAGGCCGTGAAGTTTTTTTGGGCACCTGCAGACACCACGCGGTGATCTCAAACATTTACCCTGGTGATTACCTATCCGCCAAGACACCAACACACTATTGCAAAACGACGAGCGGCCCTAAACCCGAAAGCCCAACCCTCCGCCAATCAAAAAACACCTCCTAGGTCTACCTAGACATTTTCCCGGGCATGTGGCACGGCTTCCAGCAGTATCTCGAAGGCCCGGCATTCATGTTTGGATTTCGAGCTCACAGGCTCTGCAATATGGTTCAGGGAAAGTCGTATGACCAAGGGTCTGGAGCTCAGTTGTCCGGTTCCTGGAAGAGGAAAGGAGCTTGGGAGTGTTCAGGAGTCTTCATACAGCCTTCACAGTGCGAAAGTTTAAGCTCCGAAAGCCCCAGATCGCAGAGCGGCGCCCTAAACCAGAATAGACCATATACATGAACCCCAAGGTCTCAGCAGTCGGAGCGCTTTATCCCACCTACCGCTTAGTGACTTGAAGTGACGTTCTTGTGGCCATAGCAAGGACTGTTTAAACGAAGCCCTGATGTCCTGACTCGGCCAAATATCAGAGGAACAGCTCGTGGGATTTTGCTCGCTTGGCACGAGTGTCTTAAAAATGGAGCAGAACCGCACATGAGCTCTGGAGCTGCCAACCCCCAACCGATAGAAGCTAGACCCCCCTGCCTTAGCGAGGTGTTCTGCTCCTTCAGGGAACTTAGGCTGAAAATGTCGTTTCGGAGCTGTTGCTCCCGACAGAGGTAGCCACCAACCCCAGCCCTTTCGGCCTTTCGGTGGAAGGCTGTGGCTCGGGTGGCGAGCTGTGGCAGGCAAGCACAGCATTGAGGCAACTACGGGCAGAGCCTGGTGTACCAGCGTGATTGCCATGGCTGTTGTTGCTGCAACTCGTGTTCGCAAGTGTTCAAGGAGGGGGCTTGGGCTTGAGGAACTACATCGCGGCAGCATTAGTGTGAAGATTGGTACCAATCGTCTTCTTGCCATCAATGCTTCAGGTGTGCATGTGACGCACTTGGCTTCGCAGCCTCAGTACTTCAGTATATCTATCGTGCATGTGATGGCTTGTTGCAGTTAGCTAATCTTGTGGGGCACTATCGATGTTTCAGGATGCGTTCGCGGAGTTCTTGCAGGGTGTTTTTCCACGGTTTTGTAGGGATTATGGCATGATTATGGGCTTTGGGTTGGCATTTTCGGCTTCGAGTGCTCATCGCGATGACTGTGGCTTTGGGTTAGCTTCGCCCGCAGCCCCTAATGTTGAAGCATCCAGAAGCCCACTTGGACCCGAAATCGCAGAAGGACGAAAGCCAGCACTCTTGTCCCTTGGTTCTCAGCATAAACATGGGGCTTTCATCCCGGCTGTGTTCAGAGGGTCCAGTCATCCTGTCAATGAAGAATCGCTGAGAATCACCGTAGTGAGAGGCCCCGAGACCCTAACTCCATCAGGTGCTTACGAAGGTGTTTGAGTGCAGAGCCTGCAAAACCGTTTGGGTACGTTTTCCATTGATCCAAGTTTGCAGGATAACCAACCTGCTAAACCCTTCGCGACTGGCCAGCCATGCGGCTGACTTCGTTGTGCAAATCACGAAGTATCTGCGCAACAGCCCGCTGCTCAGAACTGCGAGAAGAACCGACCTGACCAAGGGTCCAGAATAAGCTCAAGGGCTCAGACTACGGGCTTGGCAGCAGCCAAACTCGATAGGGGGCAGGGTTTTGCAGACATTTTCTGAAAGGCTTGCATAAGGTGCGCGGCAAGAAGGTGTCTTTTCAACCATGTACCTTGATGTCCCACTTGCCACACCCCACCTTCAGTAAGGTACCCTAGGCTTCTAGAGGCACCAGAGTGTCTTGGCATCGAAAAGAGGCTTATAAAGCAACGCTTTAGAATTTACGGTTTAGGGGTGTTTCTCGTTTATGTTGGTTGTGAAGGTCAGAAATCCAGAGACAGAGAGAGAGAGGACAATTTCTTCGCTATGCCATTAGGAGCATGATGTTCATTCGGGAACTTATCCGCGAGACTCTGGGCCCACTCAAAGCCCAAAGCCTTTGACCGTAATCTCAGACCCTGTGGGAGATCCAGGCCCTGTAGGCATTAGGTGTCGAACTTTGAAGCTTAGCGTCGAGGCTGGGATATAGAGTTTCGAAGGAGTTTACCCTCCGATAGTGGCCATAGTGCCTCTGGTACAGGTTGAGGAACCCGTAAGAGACCGTTTGCTGTTGTATGCTTTGAAGCTGGGGGCCCTAACTGCCTTGGCCCTGGATCGGCGCATGAACTGCACGTCAAGCCGTACTACCGATTCAGGGGTTAGGGTTGTTGGGTTAAGAGTTGCTCCGCAACCTTGAGGCTGAAGCTCTGAATGGCAGTGCGCGAGAGGATGAGCCTGCCGCAGCGTTTTACAGAAAGCCTCAAGCTCCGCAGCAGCTGAGCGAGTTGGAGAGGCAAAACCTGACTATGTAAGCGCGAGAGATGCAGAGCCAACTGCAGGGGCTCACGGGTACAAGGATGAGGTGTTGAGATTTGGGTTCCTGGTGGTTTGGCGACTAGGATGGAGGGCCCTCTAGGGTTGTGGGCGTAGATGTGCCCTCAGAGTAGGCGAAGTCTGTGCAAGCGCAGTTAGCGCCACTGCCGGTTTAACCAGTCGCCATCGTCTCGCCTGGGCATGGCAGGCGGTGTTGACCAGGACTTCATGACATCTTTGCCTACGACTAAACTCCTGAGCCTTAGACCTTGGAGTGCTTCGGATATCCTGTTCTCGGAAACGACGCAGCCGTGCCCCCTACCCAGACACCCAACCCATATTTCGCAGACCTTGCATGCGCTACTGCTCCTGCTAGTTACCGATGGGCATGTTGGCTCTACAAGGGTAATATGGGGGTTTATCACGGGCGATGAAGCCTCGGCACCCTTGACGGGGTCCTGGAACCTGTTTGGTAGCAGGCACCCAAGCCCGAAACCCCCAAACCCAGCTTAGACTTTGTTGTAGCCAAAATACTTTTGCGGATCACAAGGGTTCGAGTGTTGATTCGCGACCGGGGGAGCATTTCATGTCCTTTTCTACTGTTGATGTGGGATTTTGTCGTCAGCAATCGGTGCATTAAGGGGTTCGTGCTCCTTGGCAAAGATGGAATATCAGGCCAACCGAAAGACCTAGATCAATATGGGCTAGACCCGAGATCTTAAATCCCCAAACAGTTTACACCAAACATCTGTTAAGCCCTATAAACCCTAATCCTGCTGGCAGATCGGACAACAGTTGCTTCAAAAAAGCAACCCTAGCCGAAA